TCAGTCGACTTTTTAGTGCCTGATCCCTGAGGCCTAGGACCACGCGGTCTCGGAGGATATCGTCCAGGTCCCTGAACTCGCACATCCCCCCTAGGTCTCTCAAGGCGGCTATAAAGTCGCTAATGCTCTCGTCCTGCCGCTGGTTTCGCCGATAGAACTCATCCCGCCGGATGAGGATGGGCACAGCGGGGGCGTAGTGGTTCCGAAGGAGTGGCTCGAGATCGGCCCAGTCCATCGCCTTCACGTCCTCGGGCTTCGCGAGGGCTTTGGCCATCTTAAACACTGCGGGCCCGCAGTGTGTGAGGAAGACGGCCCTTTTCTTCTGCCCGTTCGCATCCTTCAAATTGCTACTTTCGAGGAACATCAGGAATCTATCCGTGTACGATTCCCAGTCCTCGGTAGCGGGGTTGAAGGGTGCTGGTGGGGTCATGCTGGCCATCTCGTCGGTCTTTGTCTTCCTCGGGACACGTGCTCGGTGGTTATTCGCTGGATCCCACCTTCGTCGCCAGTGTTGTGTCCGTCGAGAAAGGAAGCTCGGAGTCAGTGACTTGGTTTCAGCTCTTTATTGGCTCCTGAAACAGCTTGGGTTTGAAGGGGAAAAACCGCGGCTTTTATTCCCGAGCCGCGGCGGCCGCGGCCAATGACACCGCTTCGAATCTCCCGCGATTAGTTTCCTCCAATCGCGGGGGATTCGCAACGGGCCAATCAGTGCGGCTCGCTCGACCAATCCGGTTGCCGCGCGCTTTAACCAGTCGCGACGCGGGGCTACGAGTATGTAAATTGACTTGTACAGAACACTATGCCATTTGAATAAGAAGTGTAGGGAGAATGATTGAGTGGCTTGGCTTAATTAGCATATACTTAATTAGCATATACTTAATTAGCATATACATATGCCCATTTAGGGGAGAGAGATTCCAGAAAAACGAATTATATGGAGGCAATATGACATTCTGTGTTGAAGCCTACATTTTTTTGTGAATTATTGCTAGCATTTGTGAAGCACTGGTATCTGTTTACATTTAGTAAGTTTCAATGTCACATCTTTTTATTTTGCATGTAATATTATAGCCAAGCGCCACCATCCAGGATGCTTCTGATACAAATGTGAGTTGTTCGCTCTTCATTGTCATTAGCAGCTCTGCATAACTTCAATAAACAACAAAGCTGTCATGCATTGAAATACATTCATTATTGGGAGAAATAGAGTTCTTATTTTCACACCATCAGATCATTACAGAAAATGAAAACAAATGGGAAAACTTGATCAAAATGAACAATAAATTATTATTATAAAATTTGACAGCCACGTGCATGTTCTTGGTAGTGTGACCTATCATATATTTTATAACAATATGCTGTTAGTGCTTACTGCAGTGAGAGCTATTGGAGGAAATCAGAAATGGAATTCACATGAACCAGTCTTGAAACTAAAACCATCTGTAAATGGATGGACTGATGTCTGAAATAAATGCATACTTGCATTCATATTAACATTGAAGAAGTAGAGATACTTCCTCTATTAAAATCCAGGTGATAATCTGTACCTCCCCAAACCCTCTTACTTCTTGCCATCCCGTTAGCTCTGTACTTTCTGACAAAGAATATCACTGTTTTTATTTATTTTGTTTTCTAGCAGAAACTCCCTTTAAAAAACCTTCCTCCTTTACATTAATCAAAGCCACAAAAACAGTTCCTGTTCCATTCTCAGATACCAACAATTACTCCATTGTTTATATAATAAATTGAACTAACATTTTTCTTTTTTTAAAAAAAGCCTCAATATTTGGCTCTACATGCTAAATTCATAAAGTCACTTTTTAAAATGCTGCATGCCATAGTTTTGATGCAGTAAAATGCCACCGTGATAATCCAGCTTTGCCCATAGATCCATCAAATTTCAATAGCCCATAGGAAATACAAAAATACACCTGACTTAATGACTCAAAGAAAAAAAAAAGATGGAGAATCAAGGCTTCCCCTTCTAGGCAATGCTTTCCCAATTCCTGGATGTTAAATGGTATTTCATCTGCAGTGGCAAAGTTGTTCTGGTAGCTTCAGGTAAGTCAAGCCATGATTGAAAGTATCAGCATAAATTTACAGGATAGTTTGAGATTTGATACAGGATTGTTGTGGGTACAATTTGATAAATGAATGGTATAAAACAACTAACATGGATAATTTACTTCCAGTTATTCTTTATATAATTGTTGAAGAAACCATTTCCTGTCTTATGTGCCTTAAACTATACACACAAACTTGCCTAAAAGTATTGCATTCCTTTTACCTTATTATTCTGTGTTGTAAGTACACAATACTATGAAATATTTTTTGTCTGATATTTGTTTTATTTTTTTTTGTCTGAATATTCTTTATTCAGTACTCCCAAAATTTCATAATTGTGGGTTAGCTAGTTGCAAGTTATTTAATCTTGTTTTTCTATTTATTTTATACCTGAATTAGGTCATAGACATAGATTACATAGATTTTTAGTAATTACTAAATATTGTAAACCTTTATTAATGTTCTTTCTATTTCTGTACATCAACTATTTCAATATCAGAATGCAAGCATATATATAATTTAAGTATTTTAGCAGAACATTGGGTTTTATAATCATGCATATTTTACTTGAATCTCAGTCTGACTTCAGAATTCATTTATGAATGGAGCTTGCATTATTCTGATTTTAATAAATGGAATCAAGTAGTACCAATAGCTAGTTAATCAGAGCATCGTACTATGCCAATTTTCTTGAAACAGCACAATAGGAATCTGTCATTTCCCTTAATATTTGAACCAAGGTTTCGGCTGTATTCTAATTCCAGAGCTTAACAGCTGACAACGATCTGGATAATGTTGTTAAATGGATATTACAAAATTATCATACCTATTTTTTGTTTTCATTACACAGTTTCGAAACCTCTTAAACATTAGCACATGCAAAGATAGCCCATACATAACAATGAATTATTACCCAATGTTACTGTTTTAATAAAAATTCCAAATAGAAAAAAAATGAAAATATATTTTAATGTCAACCTAGTAATTCAAATTATATTGCACTATAAGCTCTGCAAGTTATTTCTGTTAGAAAAAGGAAAATGCAATATTTGGCTCCTCAAACTAATATGTGGGTATGCTTATACAGTACCTTGTCCCAAACCAAAATGTAATTCAGTTTTTTAAATGTTAAAAGTATCTGTTGTACTATTATTTTAATAGGCATTAATTAAAGCATGTTTGTTTTAATACTGTGGTAAATCCACAGAACTAGGTGCATTTCATATCTACTTGTGATATTAACCACAATTCTTTTTTTTTCTAGTGAGGCAACAATTCTTCTGGGAATTCTAGCAATTTATTCATTAGAGAATAGAATAATAGACGACAATAATACATAGTTTTAAAAAAGTTAAGTTAAATCTTGTTGTTTCTGATATTCTCTACCCAGTAAATAGGATGACAGGGTAAGTATTAGGCATAAACGAGGTACAAAAGTCAGGCTGATTTGATATTTGTGTGAAGAACAAATTTAACTCAAAATCTCTTGGCAAACCTTGCTTCACCCACATAATCTGGAGAACATCCCTATGCAAGCCCTGTCTAAGCCTCTGAGAAGACTGCTGCCCTCCTGCTCACGTCCGCCAGAATCTGATCTGACTTTCATACTTAATCTGATCTAATCCTGTCCAGCATTAACTTCATCTGTGCAATGAAACCCAGAGTATCCATTCTAATATTTGGTGAGGAAGGCATTTACTAAATTACTTGCTGAAATCATATGGTGTTGTTTAGCTCCTTATTTTAATCAGATGATGCATCTCTGAGGCACATTATCAGTGATTAGTTAGAAACCCATGTCTGTCCTTTTTTGGAACAAAGAAGTTTTGCTGAAAGGCTACGCATTGGGAAAAGAAAGCCTGTTTCATTCATTGGTTAGTCATAAAAGGAGAAAATAAAGGACAAAGAAAAGCATTATACAGAACTAGAAATATTTTATTAAAAGAAGCATTTTCAAAACCATGTCTATAGCTTATGAATTTAATTCATTATTTTAAAGGATACAATTGTTAGTTTCTTCCTTAAACTATTCAGTTTCTACAGTCACTTAGAATATTTTTATAAAGAACATCTGCATTAAAAATGCATATTTATTCTTCTTATCTTGCATACCAATTGCTTTACTGAAGTCAATAGCCAAAATCTCATGGACTGTCACAAACTGGTATCCAAGAAGCTACACAAAACTGAGTTATGTATTTATATGAAATAATATTCCTATTAAAATGTATTTTCAAAATATACTTCAACTGAAATAATTGTGGACTTTATACAATTAGATAAGCCACCAGAAATAAACATTATTTTATATCAACAACCAAATTTACTTAGATACATAGCAAAGCATTCTGTAACTTGTCAAATCAACCAATGAAATATGTTTTTCTCTGATTTCTTTTTATTGAAATTGATTTACTATTATTTTTAACACCTAAGTATCACTAAGGAAATGCCTGTTGTTATTTTCTTGAGCAGCTTTAAAAAATGGAGAGAAAATTCCCAAAGATTTAATGGGAACACAGAATATATATCCTCTTATATCAATAGGCAGATCTTTCCTAAGAAGTAAGCTAATTGAGCTGTTTGTGTTGATAAACTCCCTTTTCTCCAGTCTGTTCCTCACTGAGCCATAATTATTTGCAATTTGCCTAAGTCGTCCATTTACTGATACATCAAGCATGAAACAGAGGCAATTCCTGAAAATGGAAATGCTTCTCAAAATCAATCTTTGGGAAATAATGTGGTAGAAGTTACTGTGAGATAGAAGACTACCTTAGAACTGTCACATGGAGATGAATATTAATTTGTTGAGGTTAAGATGGCTTTGTGCTTCATTTGTTGACTTTGCTTAGCCATCAGCAAGCAGCACAGTACAATTACTTCAGCAAAGCTATTTTTTTTTTCTCACATGAATTTTATTATTTTTATGTACTTACCAGTCAGCACACATAACCATGTCAAAATGTCCTTCCAGTTGAGAGACATCTGTCTCATTATCCCATCGTAAAATGCTAGAAAGAAAGAAAATATTTTTTAAAACTGGACTTATGTGTTTTATCTTTTTCATTTCTAAAAAAAGGTACATTTAGTATGACCAAGAGTCAAAAATTGATTTATTAAAAGTACATAACATGATCATAAAGAGTGCATATAGACATATACATTAGTGACATCCACTATAAATATAGCTTTATATGAACAGCTGGTTAAAGAATTCCTGTAAGTAAAGTGATATATATAGGAAGTCTAGAGTTTTGCACCTTAGTAATTAAATTGGTATACAGTAAATTGCAGTATTGCTTATTGAATTGCAGTATACATTTACAAACCAAAAATGCTGCTTTCTTGTTTCTCTGCTTATTGTGGTAAGTGTTCACTGACTTTCTTATTGATAAAGCCACTGTTTCCTTTAGCTTTATAGGAAGAACAGAGAATAAGCATTCTTGAAAATATGCCAACATTATACTATTAAGATTTGTTCTTGACTAGCTCATGCTTAATTCCAACATCTGGAATATAAAAAGAGTTTTAAATTTCATTTCCAAAACAAAATTATGAATAACCAGAATGAGAGGTTATTTCTTTAAAAATAATATTTACCGTATATGCATATTGTTTAAAAGTCCTTTTGTTACAAAATTTATTGTGTTGTGGTTTTTTGTGTTTTGTGATCAAAAGAATACATGTTTCATTTGCAATTATTGGTACAAAAGCTAAGAAAAGCTAGAAAGAAAGGGGAATATATATCCTGATACATATTTATCCTGATACATATTTATTTCTGTTTTAGGAGTTTTTTTTCCACTATTGACAACCGTTTCTGGTTAAGATCATCTGCAGCAGTGGTTTATATGATTCATGTTTATGGTTTATTCATAATATTTTCTTTGCGAAAGATGGTTTTTATTGTTCTACAATATGTCTTATGTACATAGAAATTAACATCCTTGAAAAAAACCATTGTTGATGTACAACATCATGGGGGAAGGTTGTGTAGAATATCAGACTAACAAAATAATAATGTAGAACTCACTCACTAATTTACCCTCCTGGAATGTATTGTGCCATTCCAAGGGGGGAAAACAGTAGGTTAATTTAATCACTGCACAAGCCCAAGTACATACATACATGCATATACAGACCCATACATTCACACCCATTTAAACTATAAAGCGGGTACACATTTTTGAAACCTAGGTGGCTTTGCAAACTGGCACTTTCAGAGCTCAGCAGGCATCCACTAGTGGAAAGTGACAAAGGAGAGTTCTCACTCTCAGCTGCTGACTGCCTGCTGGCTGCTGGCGGCTTTTTCAACCCTGTTTCCGTGGAAACTTAGGTTACAACAGTGAAAATTAGGTAAAGGTGAGTTGGTGGGGTTGCTAGTTTTCATTTGATTTTGATTTTTTTAATAATAATAAAAAACCCTGAAGCTGCAATAGCAGCTAGTGGTTGAGTTGCTAGCTTTAAAGGCCATTGCTAGTGTGTAATTCCACTCAAAGGCAATCCATGAAGACAAATAAGAACTGCAAACTTCATGATTATTATTTTTTCCTAAATCCTTTTTATTAGTCCTGCATATATTGAAGATGACTCAGTAACTGTCCAGCATTAACCACTGCACTTTGAAGGCTTCTGGATTCTTAACCTTGTTCTTGCATTGGACTTTTTTTTTAATTTCAAAAGAACCATACTCTAAAATATACATTCTAATAAAATAACTGAACAAGTTGTTATTTTACACTTTTAGCTATTTCAGTACACACACACACACACACACACACACACACTCATAAAAGCTAGGTAACTGGCTCAAAATACATTAAATGCCCCTCTCCAAATTTTGAACAAATATCTGTGATTCATTTTCAATTACATAATTTCAAACCAGAAGAGAGATTTAGTTTTTAGATTTGAGTAATGGAAGCGGCTTTTGAAGGGGATAGGAAGAAGTAACACATGCTTACTTCTGCCACCTTCTGATATTTCCCCTTAGCCATTTTAACTGAGAAAGTATCAAAAATTCTTTTACACCAGATATATACAGAATAGATTTCCTGGAGCAAGTTCAGGATAGCTTTTTTTTCTTCCAGGTAGCATAAAAATTATCACAGTCAATTCAAGATCCTTAAGACACATTCAAATGTGGGAAAGTGAGAAATAGCACACTTTACTGCTTCTATTCTAGAAGTTCCAGATGCAGATCCAAGATTACATCTTTGAAAACTTTCAAATAACCTTTTAATAATCTCATGTTAATTTTCCTTATGTAAGGGCAGTAAACCATAGCTCTTTAGTGCAGGACATGCAAAGGGTTCTCAGTTTCAATTTCAGTTAAGGATAAGGAAATTAAATGGATAAAAGAAGCAGGTGATCTCTGCTGAAGATAAGAAAATCTGCCTTCAAAGCAGAGCACAGTGCAACTTAGGAAACGTCTTTATACAAAGTCTGATCCCTCTGATATATTTGTTTCAATGCGATCTATACTGAACGGAAGCACCTCTCCACAATTTCAGACATGTTTTGGCCAGCTTTATAAATTCTTCCATATTGAGCTAAATGGACAAATAACATCACCCCTTTTCCAATTTTTAATGGAATCCAATCACTGATTTAAATAAACCAAACAAGGACACATTACTATAACCATGACAGGTTAAAGGGCAGAAAGGAATGGCTTATTATCTTGAAATCCTATTTTCTCCCAGTAGTATAATTCAAACCACAATGCATGGTAATTATCATTTGTGAATCTACATTTGAAAGGCAGTAAAAAGTCTGAGAAGAAGGCCTATTCCCTCATCAGCCTGGGAAGATACTATATGTGTTTATCTAGAAGCAAATCAGCATCATTCCAAAAATATTTTATCTATACTAAGGAAACACAATATATCAAAATTCTCAACATGGGCCATATAATTCAGCCTCAGTGTCTACTCAGAGGTGGTATTCAGCAGGTTCTGAGCAGTTCTGGAGAACCGGTAGCATAAATTTTGAGTAGTTTGGAGAATCGGCAAATACCACCTCTGACTGGAGATTTCACAGTATCCTTCCCCTGACACGCCCACTAAGCCACTCCCACAGAACCAGTAGTAAAAAAATTGAATCCCACCACTGATCTACCTAAATACATAGTGGAGAGTTTAGTGATAGCATACGTAGGATAAAAGCAACTATGCCATAGATAACAAAAGTGAAGTTTAAGAGTAAGCAGGAAAGTTGAATACTTATATATAGCTATCATAATTCTATCTTAGTCAACTAACTCATATAGAACTTAACTTATCCAGAGGAATTAGGAAATATGTATAAATAGGAATAGAATAAAAAGACCAGTTTGGTCTAGTGATTAAGGCACCAGGGTAGAAACTACAAGATTGTGAGTTTTATTCCTGACATGGGCATGAAAGCCAGCTAGTTGACTTTGGGTCTGTCACTGTCTCTCAGTTCAATTCACCTCACAGGGTTGTTGTGAGGAAAATAGTAGTATAGTATAACATGTGTTCATCACCTTGTGCTACAAATAAAAATAATAGAGGTGGCATATACAGTAAGTAAGTTATTGACTAAATCCCCAAATGCAGGTAAGCTCTAATTTACATTGTGAATAAAATGTGGGAATATTGCACCTTGATGAGCTATCATGTATCTTCCTTTGGAGGCTGGAATGACAGGTCAAAAATATCTAATTCAATGTTCTTTACAGGAACATGGCAAAAACACACTTCAGAGAGTGCTCCCTTAACTCTTTTGACTGATATTGACCTATTTGATCAGGGGTGGGATATTCCCCAGGGGCTCTATAGGACCGGTAGCTCTGAAGAGCAGCAGACACAGAACCAGTTCTGTGTCTGCTGCTCTTTGGCCCACCTGCCTGCCCGGGCTCTTACCTAACTTTTATTTCCTGCTTTTTCAACCTCTGCTGCTTTGCACGGCACAGCTGAGGTTGAAAAAGCAGTAAAAAAGTGATTTTTCAAATGCTGTGCACCCGCACGCAGCGCTTATCAGCTGTCTGGGCGGCACAGCTTACACGCAAAACATAATCACCGAACCAGTAGTAACACCGGTTGAATCCCACCTCTGATATTCCCCAACTCATAAATTCCCAAATATGGAGAAAACAGAAACTATAAATAAAGAAGTGCACAGCAATGAAAGGATGGAAGCCTTGCTAAACAAAAATATGGAAAGATATTTAAGTGGGAAACTATTCTTTCATCAGTGATTTTCAATGAAAATCTAATCTCAGGTACTGTTTGTTACAAGGGAAAAGTGAAATAAATGATCTCATTCTTGAACTTTTTTGCAATATCTACTTACAAGGACACAAAAGACTTATATACTACTTCACAGTGCTTTACAGCCCTCTCTAAATGGTTTTCAAAGTTAAACAATGGGTTATGTTTTCAATCACTTAAAAAAATGCAAACAGAAGTCATAGAATTACAATATTACATGGCAGCACAAGGGTTAGAATGCAATGCTGCAGTCTGACTCATTGCTCACTCCAGAATTTGATCATGTCCAGCTCAAGATTAACTCAGCTTTCCATCTTTCCAAGGTTGGTAAAAGGAGGACCAAGATTGTTGGAGGCAATATGCTGACTTTGTAAACCACTTAGAGAGGGCTGTAAAGCACTGTGAAGTGGTATATAAGTCTAAGTGCCCTTGCTGTTGCTATTGCTATCACTACAATGTAATTAATGTTTATTACACTACAATATACCATATTTATGCATACAGATATTTTTTTAAATACCAGTATTATTCATTAACATTCTTGTTCCCAGATAAGTTAGAAAAATAAAACAATTAAAACAATAAAGGCAACTATTGATTTATAACTAGGGTAAAGCTGTAAAGAGAACCAATTGGTGTAGTAATTAAGGTACCAGGCTAGAAATTGGGAGAACCTAAGCTCTAGTCCTGCCTTAGGCACGGAGCCTGGTGGGTGACTTTGGGCCAGTCACTTTCTCGTGCCTAGGAAGGAGACAATGGCAAACCACTTTAAAAAA